AGGGGCATGGATCTAAAGAGCAGGTGGCTGAGCTCACAGTCCTAAGGACCCTGTCCACTTCTCCAAGCTGAACAGGTTCAAACTGTTCCCAGATCACCAGGCAAGACTCCACCCTAGGCATCTCCCACAGACCTGCAGTAGAGCCAGTGTCCGACTGCGAACGAATCTCAGCGATTTTATCTGATAGATGCTGAGCAAATTCCTCCACACAACTGTGATAGAATGGAATTATGAAGGCCAGGCTCAGGGAGATAAGCGTGTTCTTAGTTCACCGGAGGAGTATGGGAAGTTGAAGAGGATGAGGCTGGAACCTCCCTGAGGAATTCACGGTGTTGTGGCTGGCCGGCCTGGGAGCTAGGTTTCAGTCTGGGGAGATTTTCTGTCTAGAGGTTGTAGCTAATAAACACAGTAGAACAGAATTTGCATTGTCTCTTGGAGTTCTTTGGGCTAAACCTGACAACAACCTTGCAAAAGGTTGTCTGAACCCCCAGTACCCAAGAGGACTATATCACCCGAAACAGGGCTGCGGGGCAGCAATCTGTGGATGTAATAAGAGCAGAGGAGTGCTGTTTCTTTGCCACCCTTACCGCTACTTGGTAGGCCTTAATAGCAGTTCTAACCTGAGCTCGGTCGAGTTCGTCCTTAGATGAGCACCAGCGATGCTCTAGATGTCTCTTTTCTCATTTCACCTCCCTCAGCTCCTCAGTAAACTACAGGGAGTGATGGGATCCATGGGAGGGGAGAGGTTGCATAGGTGCGATCCGATCCAAAGCCTCAGCTGCCCTTTTATTCCAGGCAGCAATCAAGGCTTCAGATGGGCTGTGCAGCAGACCAGCAGGAACAGCCCCCAGCTCCCTCTGGAACCCCTCCGGGTCCATCAGTCGCCGGGGGTGGGGCAATCTAATGGGTCCAGCCTCCCTGCAGTGGATAATGGCGCCAGAGAATCCCATGGTGATCAGGGCATGATCTGACCATGACGAGGGGGACACCAACAATTCCCCCAATTGCAGATCACATAGCCATTGCTCTGACAGGAACACCAGATCTGGTGTGTGACCACTGTCCCGTGTCGGGCTCTGGATGACCTGGGATAGGCCCATGGCAATCATGG